TGACAACAAGCCATGGACGCAGGTCATGGCTAGTACTGTGGGCAAGTTGTATGTGAAATTGCATCCTGGCTGCAAGCTGTTTGCTTAGTGAATTAGTGTAACTCGTGGTGGTTAAAATAAAACGTGTGGATGGAGTGACAGCTGGTCGCCAGGCAAAGCTCGCTGCTACATGACCATTTGATCAAATATTACGTCGAATGGTGTGGAATTGACGATCCTCGCAGGCCTGGGTTTTGTACTCGAGATGCGTGTTTCCTGTTTGATGAAGACAGAGGCTTGAAGCAGGTGGAGAAGACGGGCTCAAACAACGTATACGTTTTCCTTCCGCATCGGTTGCTGGACCCCGTGTCCGATGATGTCAAAAGCCGACTCAGTAATTTCTGGAAGACAACGTATTGGAATAATCACGCAGCTTTCAGATGCTTCATGTCAGCACTGACGCTAGCTACACAAGGAGAAAACATCGATCGTGCATTCTGGGGAATTGGATCTGGTGGGGTTGGTCAAAGCCTGCAGACCGCGCACATGGAAGCAATTTTAGGCAGTTTTCACGCATGCTTGGATATGAATATTTATTATTCAGACGACGAAATGCGTAAACAAGCCGCTTCTTTGCTGGGCAAACTCGTTGTTACTGGCCAGGAATCGGTGCAGGGCAGCCGTAGAAGCATGCGTGAAGATGTCTACAAGAAACATATATCGGCAGACAAACTTCCAGAGAGATTGCCCTATGCTATAGAGACGCACTTGGTAGAACTTCGTGGCTGGAAGCGATTCGAATTCAACCAGCTACCTAAGCCGCTTGCCTGCAAGAGGGAATGTTGTCTGTTGAGACCGTGGAGTACATATGCGGCAAAGAACCTCGCTTGCTTAGGTTTTGTGGCGTCGACGAGGAAACCTTCAATTCTCTGTTCCGACGATCACTGGTTGTTCGTTACAAAGCATCGTTCTGGGACCGCGACTACATCTTGAGCAAGGTACGACAGCCAGAGGAGCAAGGCATTTTCCCAAAAGATCCAACCCTGAAAGATTTCCTGCGATCGAGCCCGGCTTGTCTTGTAACTTTGCGAGCATTGTGGCAGTATGCCCGAGACCATAACGCTGCGGACTGCAGAAAATGCCTTGACGAGTATGTTGTCGGAGGCGAGGACGAAGGCTTGACAGAGTTGTGTGTCAGGCAGGCGTGTGGACTGAAGCACACGTCGAAGCCAGAAGATCCTTCGCATGATGTTGACACTGCCAAGCCAGATGGTCAACCGCCAACTGCAGGAGAGGATGTTCTTGCAGTTTTACGCAAGCAAAGAGATGAGATTGTCAGTTGGATGATCCAAGTCAAAAAGGATTTCTGTACATCTGGACAATTACGAAGTGTTACAGGCAAGCACGCGTGGACTGCATTCAGTCGTCAAGATGTAGATGACATTCTGGATGCACTAACTGCGCACAAGCTCATGCAAAAAAGCTCTCTGACGCTGCCCAAGTTGGGTCTTACCGACGTCTTTTCACCAAAGGTCTTCACGACAAAATCTATGACGGATGTCATCGACATGAAGCATGATGATGCAGCTGCTTTTCCTGAAGCATATGCTTGCCAGTCGTTGCGGCGACACATGCTGAGTCATAAAGGACGTCGTGCAAACAACCAGATATTGCAGCAAGCTCATACGACAAAAGCCAAAGAGCTGAAAAAGGGCAAAGGCAGCGGCGCAGGTGTGCCCACGAAAGAACACCGCGTGCTCCAAGATGACTAGGAAGCTTTAGTACAGACAATGTGCCGTCATATTCGACAGGAGCAAGCGCTCTTTACCGAAATGCAGTACTACCTCGAAGACGGCGGCGTCGGTGCTGAGCAACATGAAATGGTTGTGCAACGCACATATGCGTATAAGCTGGAAACACGTTGTCGACGCAATGTGAACGGCTCGGGTGCACAAAGCTTTTCAAAGGTGTTTCGCAACATTGTCTGCAAGAACATGCGGGATTTTGACTTCCACGCGAGCATGTTCACTCTCGTCGTGCAGCTTGTCGACAAACTCGACACCTCGTTCAACGAGATGCTGCCAAGCTTAAAAGCATGGCGTGCAGTTGCTAACAACAGACAAGGAGTTTGCGAGGACATACTGCAATGCAGTCCTATCCGAGGCAAAGCACTGCTGTTGCAAGTGGCTAATGGTCAAGCAGTGTCCTCAGCCTCAGCTGACGATATTTCTGAAGCAGGGCAGCAATTCCTAGAGGATCTGTCCAAGGAAAGCCGATGTTTACGTTGGCTCGCCCGAAGTCTTTGTCCGGATCTATACGAGAAAGTGAAAGATGGTGCCGACGGATTCAAGCAAAGCAGCTGGCCAGAGGCAACAGTCTTCTCTTACTGGTGGTATTCGGCAGAAGATTATTGTCTCAGCAGTATGTTGGATTTATTTCGAGATATCGATGTACCACGCCAGCACATTTCCTTGCACTTCGATGGCCTTTTACTATCGCATGATCTTGTGCAGGCTGTGGAACAGAAGCACGGCGGTAACAATTTCGCTGACATAGCTCAGACTCATATATTGGAACGCACTGGGTTCCGTATCCGTATAAAAGAGAAGCACTTTAGATCGTTGGTGGAGCAGTTGTCAGATCTGGAAAACACATCTTCGCATTTGGATTCAGTCGACGAGACGTTGTTGACAGTACTTTCATCGCCAGGCAACTGCATACCCTTCGCTTATGCATGTGTAACAGGCGAATGGCTGTCAGTTGCTGAGTTACTGCAGAAAGTCAACCAAGCGAACACTCGTGCAAAAGAACGTGGCTACAGATGCTACAAAGACTGGTCAGAGTACAATCAAAGGTTCTTGAAGCCATGCTTGACATTGCCTTCAACACCAAATACGTGTTTTCTGATACACGCTGATGTTGGCGGCGCGCCTCGCTGCTTTGGTGCTAAAGTCTTGCCCGATTGTCAGCTCCAGATCTTCCACGAGCACACAGCGTGCACTTTGCCAAGCCTCTCTTTAGAAGAGATTCTGGCTGAAACATGTGAGACTTTCAGCATTGTGTTTTTCAGTGTCCAAAGCGTGAAGCCCAAAATGACGGCCTCGGAAGTACAACTACTGGATCTCGTCGCAGGTTGCAATTCGACCCGTTGCCTGTTGAGAGACAGACGTGGTGGTGGTGAAGCTGGCGATGCAGATGTGCAAGTTGGGCAACATCTACGAGACCTTCTCGAACAAGAAGTGAACGACGCAACTCGCCAACTTCAACAGCAGAAGGGACGATCGTTCGGGGCACAAGTCTGCCCGTTGTGTCCCTGGCGACGCTTCGAAAAAAGAAGCTACTTATTGACGCATATCACTAAACACCACAGTGTCGGCAAAAGGTTTGTGGCGTCTGGCACAAAGCAACTTCGCATCATTGCGGCCATGTACGATGACGACGCTGCGCGACAAGCATCCCATAGCGACTACATGAGTCGTTCAGCAGAACTTCTTCGAAGCCAAGTCAAACCTGGAGTGTCTTCGAAGAAGAATGTCATTGACAAGGACATACGCCTTTGCTTGACTACTAAAGGTCCTTCCTTCATGTCGATGCAGAAAATCAAGCAGGCAAAGGATTTGAGACGCGTCGGAAATGTCTACTACGACCGTTCCTTTGCAAATGACTTTATGTGCAATGCTGTGGCAAGCCGCGCATCTTTCCGGCAGATTGCAGCCTATTTCACATCTTCCACCGCTCGACACCAAGGCGCGTTGTGCTCCATGCTGCCAGAAGCCAGTCGTTCGTTTTGGTGCAATGTACTGGAAGACTTAACTCAATCGCCGCAGATCAAACTCAAGCTCCAAGATCTTCTGCAAGAGTGTGAGGCTCATACCGAATTCGAATACTTAAGCATCGATGCCACGGTCAAATGCATGCTGAAAATTATTGGCCAAGCGCACTTCAACAGCAGTCAAGACTGTCGTGATGCCGCGGCAATCCCAGATTCAGATGCTGCTTACAAGCTTCTTACAGTGCGTGGACGTACGAATGCTGTGCTCGGCCTGCGTGGGATTCGGTCAGAAGGTTCGCGAGAGATTGCAAGTGGCTTGAGCAGCATGCTGACATTGTCTCAGCGAGCACAAGTTCTGCACATGGCATCAGACTCGCCGAGTGTTGAGCTTTTCGCGACGTTGAAGAATACATTTCCAAATTTGCAGTCGCTTGGCCTGGATGCCATGCATATCGTTATGGTTTACGAACAAAATCATAGCAACAAGAAAACCAAAGGCAGCAGGTGGCTGGCCACAGTCATGAACAAATTTCGCAACATTGATGTGGAATGTCCTGCCGCTGCATGGGGACCTATGTACACCGGACAGCAGCAAATTCATTACACAGCTGAAGAAAAAAGACTTTCAGCGTTGGTTTCCAATGCAAGTATGCCTCAAGCCGAAGCTATGGGCATTCTGCAACAGCTAGATCCTGATAGTCCTTGGCGAACAGAGTCACAGTTCCTGGAGGCGATGGCTGCAATATGTACGCTATTCCACGACGAACTTACAAAAACAACTTTTTCGGGTCCTACTTTGCATCGACTCTTGATTAATCTTACATCGCCTGTGAAAATCCAATGGCTGTTCAACGACACGAGATACCGCCACACGTGCGCGCCTTCGCAGACGCAGTTGCTGCCGAGCGGTACTACATCTAACGAGTCACTGCACCATGAACTGAACAGTTGGCTTCACGAGATCGCTGCTTGGCAAAGGCTAAAGATTTTTTAGTTGCTGTCGTAGCATAGTGTGGTGCAAGCTTGGAGAACTAAGGTGGCAATGCATCGCTCCACCTTGGAGACTAAGCTGATCTTTTTCCAGTTTGTTAAACTTAGCAGTCACAATCTGTCGTTATATCATTCTTTGCAACGACAGAATACACAGAAGCAACTAGCCCATCGCCTTATCGGCATGGCAGACATTTGGGATTCTAAATCATGGAAGGCTTGGTGTCGGGAGCTTATGCAAGACAAACGTGCACCCAAAAGAGCGCTGCTGGCTGGTGCAGAGCAGCGCAAAGCTACCCGAGCAGCAGTCAAAGCAGCCCCGAAGCCGTTTTCCAAGTCATTTAAAAGGCCTAGCTCCGCAATTCCTGCGCCACCAAAGCGGCAGCGAACTAGGCGTCATCCGTTCTCACTGCGCATCTTGGCTCCGTTAATACGGCCAGGTCGCCACAAGAGTCGTGCAGCAGCGACTGCGTAATGAGTTTGTCGAGCAGTTGCCAGAATAAGTATGTAAGATTTCCAGAATTTCCGCTGCATCCCCACTGCTTACACTGCACAGGCTCAGTGGAGCACATCGATCTAGTAATTCATTCTGTTCGGCAGTGCTGAAAAAAGCAGTCCATGTGCTTTTCCAAAAATCCTCAACCGTTCCGGACATAGTTCTTGTCATAGCCATGCAGTCAAACTGCAGGCAAGGTGACAGTCATGAGTGTGGAGATATAACAAACACTATAGAGTGTGTAACACACTAGAATACCTTTCGCAAAGATGCGGTGGTACGGCGTTGTACCGTGACTATATCAGTCATGTCGAATTAGGAAATCCTGCCTGCTCTTACATAGCCTATACATGTTCGACTGCTGACGAACCGCTGCTTTGGTAAAGCAGGCTCCGAGTTCGAGCCGGGTTAGTTTCTCTTGTGAGACCGTGTCTGCTGTAAGTTGCAGAAGCCTAGACAATACGGAAGGTATCAGTTCTTGACGAAGTGTGAGTTTCTGAATGCGAGCGGACATCGATGCCTTGTCCAATTCGTACGTGTCGCAATAACACTATGAGCACGATGTTTTGGTCAGCCATGTACGTAGGGCAATCACCGCTTTGTGGAGAGGAGGCTATCCAAGGCGGGGCCCCGAGATCGCGCGCAGCTTCCGTCAAAGGCATCTGGAAGGCACGGAGAAAGGCCACGAAAGGCCATCCAAAGGGGGGACCCGAGAGCGCGCGCGGCTTCGGTCACAGGCATCTGGAAGGCCCCGAGAAACGCCAAGAGGAGGCCATCCAAGGGGAGGCCCCGAGGGCGCGTGCGGCTTTTTCTTTCCGTGCTTCGCCTCAAACGCAACTTTGTGGCTCAAGAAATTGCCACAGTAGCTAAAAGCTATTTCCTGCGTACAACGTAGAGGACCTGAGCCATTCCCACAGCACAGACCACTCGCTGAGTTGCGAGCCTGCCTGCAAGGGAACGCGAGTGTGCAGGAATACATCGTTGTCGAATATCATTATCGGA